TCTTTCCAATTTGGGAGGACAGACTAGACTGTGCACTCCATGGCCATTACCCTTGACAGTCATGGGCAGCCTCCAAGTCAGAACAAGGCAGCAGAGGAGGACTGTAGTACCGGGCATTCAGTTCGGTTAATTGAGCAAAATAAGACCCATTCCCCTCCGTGCCACAATTATTCCTGAGCCACAATTATTTTTCCAGCTGTGCTTAGTTTAACTCATTCCAGTATTATTTCCTTTACTAATTGTGCTACACACTGTGTCTTTTAAGAACAAAGTTAAAGAGAACTTTATACAATTAAGAGCAGCATTTCCGACCCCCAGAATTCCTGTGAACGATGGGGCTAGGACCTTCTAACATAGTGAATGCTCCAGGAAAGTCAATGTTTAGTAACAGGGCTTTGCCCCCATTCCAAAGGATGGCACTCATGCCTCCCACACGGGTAGAGTCCTGACTCAGAGGGAAGAGGTAGCTTGTCTGCTGTGAGTCACCCACCCCACTTCCTGCTGCTGGACCTGAGTTTTCACTGATGTAGAACCATTCAAAAGCTTGTACCCATCAGATTCTTGAGACCTGAGAAGGTCAAGACCCAGGCACGCTTTTACTAAGTTTATATGAAAAAAAGATCGAGTGGGGGGGGTGGAGGGAGTTGGGGGGAAAGAAGCATGTCGCATGAACTTGATTTTAAGAGCAGATTTGCTTAGCCTGGGCAAGTGTCTACACTATCTCTAGGATTTTTCTTTTTCATATTGTAGAGGCTTTCTTTGTATAGGCATAAATACACATACACATTTAGGTATATATGATGCATACACATGATACTTTTATTTATTAATTACCCCTGGAAGGCAGCATGGTACAGTACATAGTAAAGATAAAACCTGTGTTACTTGGGACAAGTCACATAATCTCCCTAAGCCTCAGTTTCCTCATCTATGTAATGGGTTGTAGGGTTGGACTCAATAGCCTTTGAAGTCCCTTCCTACTCTCAGTCTATGATTCTGTGACCCTATCGGACAAGTCTGGCTTATCCCAGTAGAGCAGCAGCTGGACCGGTGTGTTGAATCACAGTCTGCATACACCATTAGGGGAGAAAAATCACAGCACAAGCTATTTCAAGCAAGGATTGGAAGTTCTACCACCACATAAATCGTTGAATTGTAGAATGGTTGGTCTGTTCCCAAAATCAAGAGGAACTGAACTATTCAGGAAATTCATAGGTAAAGCATTTATGCCACCCTTAATTGGCTGAATTTTAGTTTAAGGCACTGGGGTGCCTATGTAATGTAATATAACTGGTTCAGTTCCATGTTTATTAGGCATCTGCTTGGAGAGGTAATGGAAGATGAGCCGGATGTGAGCTACGGGAGACCTAGATTTGAATCCCAGGTCAACCACTTAGTCACTATGTGACCTCACAAATTCATTTCACCTCTCTAGGACTCAGTTTTCTCATCTGTAAAATGAGGATGCCAAACCAGATCATCTTCAATGTTTCTACCAGCTCCAAAGACTGTCATCTCACGTGTCCCATGCTAGGTATTAGGGGAGATAAAAAGATAAATTAAAAAACAATTCTGTCCTCGTGTCACCATTTCCTAATAACTACAGCCAAGGAAGTGAAAGATGGCAACCTGAATGCAGTTGATGAGAGGAACCTTTGACATGACATTGACATTTAAAATTAGATTCAAAAATGAAATCTTTGCTGCAATATTAATCTAGCAATTCAGCGGCAGGTCTCACGGAAATCTTCCTGATCACTGGACTGGCTCCAAGGGAGGGTCCGCGGGTAAGGAAAGCCCAGTTCTCAGGCTGGCACACCTTGAACTGAACATTCTTTAATTAGCAAAGACAAATATTTCACCTGTGGCCTGAATGAACTGGAACCAAGTTTCTGACGGTGGAAAAATTAACAACGGAAAGACTAGTATCTGGTTTCTGTAAAGTACAAAGAGTTTAGATATTCTGTGTGTGTGAATGTGTGTGTTTCAGACATGTTATTTCTTGTGGGAAGACTTGGTAATAGGCCCTCTTAAACTAATCATAATTTGTTGGGCAGGTTGAAATGACAATAGACACCAATATAGCTAAAAGCATTCAATTTAAATACACGTGACCATATGAGCTAACAGAGATGGCACAATCCCATAGGAGTATTATATTGGGAAATTGGCCAAAAGTTGAAATAGATGAGAATTCAAATTGTCCTTTGCAATGAGCAATGTGGATCAGAGTCAATTAGTCTATTTGGATGACAATAGACAATAAAGATCATGTGTCTATATTTTATCCTCAAAGAAAGTAATAAATATCAAAATATTAGCCTACTCAAAGGAGAAATCCAGATCGACAATCTTAATCTTTTTTGAAACCATTAGCTTTATTTTTTGTTTGACGAAGACAGATTGAAGATATGCTTCTGTTTCCTAACCCTCAAATTAAGTGGTATTTTCAAACTTCAAAGATTTAATTATTGGCCATTTACAAACTGTGCTTTCTTTTGGACAAAGCATTTCAGCTCTCCGGGCAGCAGTTTCTTCACTTACAGAAATGAAAATTTTGGCATAGATGGCTTAGATGGTTCTTGACACCTTTGAAATCATTGGAGTGCAAGAAATGCATGGGACTGTAGCCGATAATCCAGTGTTCTGTCGGTCCTAACACCATTTGGGTTCAGGAGATTGGACGTGCTCCATATAGTTTTAGTGAGTGAAAAACAAAGCATTCAGCTTAACAAGTCTATCCACCTGGCATTTCAAGAAGAGAGAATATCCATCCACCAGTCATAGACATGACTTTTAAAATGCCAAATAGAATACTGGGTGGGCAGTTGTGGGGTTATTTCCTCTTGAATGAGATCATACTAATTTTGTTATCTGACAGTAGAGGGCACTCTCAGCACACCCTGCCCACATACGTACATACCTACATACATTTATTCGTGCGTGCATACATACATACATACATACATACATACACACACAAATAGACAGCTAAATAAATAAATAAGTGAATGAATCCTTAAATAAACATAACTAGCTAGAATCCTTAAGAAGGAAATCCCAGTTATAACTTTAATTTGTTTGTTTTTTAAATTTTAAACTTCACATACACCAAATAAAATGAATACATCCATATACATATTGAGGAACAGAAGGAAAGGTTTGCTTACAAAGCTGTGAATCTCTGTGTTGTAGAGCTGGTTTTCTGATTTGTCTTGCTACTTTGTAATTATCTCTGGCCTTTCTCCCTCCAGTTATAACTTCTGGCATCATATCATTTGACCCTGCTCTGATTTAGTTCATAGGATTTAAACTCATAAGGGGCCTTGGTGATCTTAGGATTCAAATCCCTCATTTTCTAAATGAGGAGACTGAAGCCTTAGACATTTAAATGATTGACACACATGCAGTAAAATCATGATTTTAACGCAATTTGCTAACTCCCAATATGATAAGAGAAGAAAACACCTTGTTTTATTAACTTTGCCCTTTTCCAAACTCCGTGACCATTACCTAATGACTATTTCTGTGGAGTGGAACTAGTCACGAGGTTAACATCTGGGTCTCCAACTGAACAAAAACGGTTCTATTCTGCCCCCCCCCCGGCCTTGTTAAGTAAGTGAGTACCAAGCTGAATGAGCACCCTGTCTTTTCCTGTCACTTCTTGTGTTTTGGCACCTCCTTGAGTGGTTCTATAGATCTCTGATTGGAAGACCCCAGGATTAAACAATGCCCTGTGGAAATCATCATCCTGGGCATTATAACTACTTCTATTTCTCTGATGGAGACTCAGGTAAAGGAAGTTTAATGGCCTTCTCAGACTTCCAGACAGTTAGGACACAGTATTAGAATGCTTAAGTCTGATCTATCTAAGGTATCTATTTAGGCATTTCCTATATGCAATAATCTGGGTATTGAATTTCACTTCAAATTTTGGATTGCGTGATTTTTTTTTATAATTTTGAATTATCTTAATGTAAGCTAATATAAAATTTAAAAAGAATACTGATTTTTTTTAAAAAATTCAGTTTCCATGTCAGTTATCAGTGGAAGACCTGAGTTCAAATATGACCTCAGACACTCACTAGCCATGTAACCCTGTGCAAGTCATTTAACCTCCGCCTCAGTTACCTCAACTGTAAAATGGAAGTAACAGCACCTACCTCACAGAGCTGTTAAGAAGATCAAATGAGATAATATCTGTAAAGGGCTTAGCACAAAGCATGGTACGTAGTAGATCCTTCATAAATGCTAAGTCCTTTCCCCCAGTACACATAAGATTATATATATACTTTTGTCTTTCTTTGATATCTCTCTTAGCTTTACAATATGACTCCAATAAAGAGGTATTCATTTCATTGTTGAGTTGTTTTCATTCATGTTTTACTCTTAGTGAACCCATCTGGGGTTTTCTTGGGAAAGATACTGGAGTGGTTTGCCATTTCCTTCTCTAGCCTATTTTCCAGATGAGGAAACAGAGGTAAACAGGGTTAAGTGACTTGCTCAGGGTCAAGTGTCTGAGACCAGATATGAACTCACAAAGGTGAGTCTTCCTGACTCCAGGGCCAGCTCTCTATCCACTGCACCATCTAGCTGTCCCAGGCATTCATCTTTTGATAGAATTAATGAAGTTTCTAGAGTTGAACTTATAGTTTATGAATTCAACCCTCCTCTCCTCACTCCTCCACTCCTAGAGATACTCTCTTCAATTTGTGCTTTTAAATCTATTGAACTTGACTCCTGTGTCTTAATTTGTTGTCTTTGAAAAGGTCACTTATGACATATTAGTTAGCAAAATAATATATATGCAACTACTGAAACATAATGAATTGTATGGTTATGCTAAAGGATTGAGTGTCTCTTTTCATTAATTTTGTTGACCTTGAGATGAGATTTATGCTCGAAAAGTCTCTATGAAATTTGTAATTATTTAAAAGACTATCAAGGCTTTTATTTGAAACATTAATTGAAATCTCTTGTCATTTCTTCTTTGGAAACAGTTGTGTGCCTTTTGCAAGATGCTCATAATACAACAGTGATTCCTTCGTGTATCCCAGGAGAATCAAATGAAAATTGCACAGCTTTGGGTATGGTCATCTTTTTAAAAATATTTCTGCATGCATTTAATCTCTCTGTCCCCATACCCTTCCCTTAAGGAGCCAAAACAACTCCTCCCCCCCCCAAAAAAAACCAAACAACCCTCTCATCATAAGCATGAGTAGTCCTGCAAAGTAAATTCCCACATTGCCTTCCCCTGAAAATGTACATCTCTCTGTATATTTTCAATTCATCATCTCTTCATCAGGGGATGAGTGACATGTTCCATCTTCAGTCCTCTGGATTAATGGTTTGTCATTGCATTGACCCGAAAGACTCTCATAGTTACTTTTCTTTACAATGTTGATGTCATCGTATCAATTGTTGTCTTAGCTCTGCTCACTTATGTCTGTATCAATGAATAGAAATCTTCCCAGTTTCCTCTGAAATTCTCCTGTCTTTTGTGGCACAATAATATTACATTTATATTCATATGCCATAATTTGTTTAGCCATCCCTCAATAGGAATTCAGCCTCTTAGTTTCCATATTTTAGTTCTTATAAAAAGAGCCACCATAAATATTTGTGCATGTGTGTGTGCATGTGTGTGTGTGTGTGTGTGTGTGTGTGTGTGTGTGTTTCCTCTTTCTTTGATCTCTTTGGGGTATAGGCCAAGTAGTATCACTTGGACAAAGGAGAAGCATAGGATAGTACATTTTTGAGTATAGCTCCAAATTGCTTTCCAAAATGGCTAGACCACTTCACTCCTCCACCAAAAGTGTACCTATGTGGGGCAGCTAGGTAGAGAGAGCACTGGGCTTGGAATCAGAAATCAAGAACTGATCATCATGTGGTCAAATCCAGCTTCAAACACTTACTAGCTGTGTGACCCTGGGCAAGTCACTTCACCTTATTTGCCTTAGCTTCATCATCTGTAAAATGAGCTGGAGAAGGAAATGGCAAACCATTCCAGTACTTTTGCCAAGAAAACCCCAAACAGGGTCATGGAGAGGCAGAGATGATTGAAAATGACTGAAGAAGAAACACAAAAACAAAAATTGTCCCACAGCCCTCGCAACAAGTTTTATAAGTATGCTCATCTCTAGTAATGTCATTCCCAAGAATTAACCATTTTGAAGAACAACAGAAACTCAAAAAGACTCCATTTACATGTATATGTATATGTGTATATATACATATACACACATATGTATATATATATATACACACACAAACACACATACATGTATAATATACACATATCCCCACATATACACAGAGAGAGAGACAGATAGACAGAGACAGAGGCAGTGTGGTGTAGTTACAGGACCTGGATTACAACCCTGATCATTTTCTAATAAATCTGTGGGCTTGAACAAATAATTTAAATTCTCTGAGTCTCCATTTTCTCACCTGTACAATAAAGGGATTAGACATAATGGCCTTTGAGCCCCTTCTAGCTCTAAGGTATGATCTATGACAGATGTTAAATCTGGTCATGTTGTTTCAGTCGTGTCCAACTCTTTGTGACCCCATTCAGGGTTTTCTTGACAAAGATACCGGAACAGTTTGCCATTTCTTTCTCTAGTTCATTTTTACAGATAGATAAACTGAGGCAAACAGAGTTAAATGATTTGCCCAGGGTCAAACAACTAGAAAGTGTCTGAGGCTGGATTTGAAATCAGATGCTCCTGATTCCAGGGCTGGAGCTCTGTACGGTCACCACCTAGCTGCCCCAAATCTGGTCATAGAATCACTCTTTTGATTCTAGTATAGGGATTAGATAAGAACTAAGCCTGTGATTTCAGATATGGGGGACTCCTGAAGGAGGAAACTCCCACCAATAATTCAAGTATCATTTTATTTTTAACTTAGAATCCTGGAGGGCTACCTGAGGGTACTGAGAAGTTAAGTGTCCATGGTCACACAGCCAGTATTTTTCAGAAGTGGGAGCAGAGTGTGTGAAATGAAAAAGGAAAACCCTGGATTTCCACCAAAAAAAAAAGAATTTTTTTGAGAGGGGATAGATTTTGGAAAATAGGGGAAAAAATGGAAAAGTAAAAATTGGACACTGCCTAGGGTTCAGCAAGGGAATTGGACCTTAGAAAGACTTCAGAAATATTCAGGTCTATGCTGTCATATACTGGAGCTCTGCTGCAGAACTCTTCTGAGAAAACCTTCTCTTGGGAGAAGTCAATGGTAAAACTGGGAAAGGGGAGATCTGCACATGCTAAGCACTTGGTACATCTTTGTGTGTGTGTGTGCGTGTGTGTGTGTGTGTGTGTGTGTGTGTGTGTGTGTGATTAGCCTTTCTCAACCTTATTTCTGTTTTCAACTTTAACCACCTTTGAGGCTCTCGAATTTCATAAAACTTGTCATAACCTGCAGAGCCAGGAAATTGAAGGATTAACAAGCGACAAAGCTGATAATGAGGGAAGAGGTGATCCCCACAGACACGGGGGGGGGGAGGGTAGCCCAACCAGCAGCAGTAAGATCTTGGAGTCTGGCAAGTCCGAGAGCCAGGAAGGCAAACTGAGGCAGGGAAAGGAAATCCAACTCTAGCAGGCCAGGGATCAGATCCAAGGAGACAGACTGGGAATGTTAAACCAGGTTCTAACACAAAGCAGGTGGGAATAATTGTAATCATATCTTCCTGCCCATCACTTAATTTCATAGGATTGTAGGATATGGGAATGGGAGGGATCTCAATGGCTGCCTAGTCTAGCACCTTCATTTTACAGGGGGAAAGCTTCAGAGAGAGGATTTCAATCTACATCCTCTGAATGGAGAGCCAGTGCTGTCCCCACTGTATTTACACTGTTTCCATTTCTGGGCCTCAGTTACCTCATCTGCAAAATGAGGATAATAATAGCACCTACTTCCCAGGATTATTATCTTCAATTATTATCTCTAATTTATCCTGTTTATATCTTCTTTGCATATAGTCGTTTGTATGCCATCTCCCTCATTAGACTATGTTGTCTTTCAAAAAGGAGGCAGCCGGATGGCTCCATAGCACCTAGAGAGCTGAGCCTGGAGTCAGAAAGACCTGAACTCAAATCCAACCTCAGATACTTACTAGCTGCATGACCCTGGGCAAGCCAACAAGCTTCTAGTTCAGCCAGTTTCTTCAGCTGTAAAATGGAGACAATAATAATGCCTATCTGCTGGAGTAGTTACAAGGATCAAATGAAGTAATATTTGAAAAGAACTTAACTCAATGCCTGGAACACAGTAGGAACTTCATAAATAAGCTTGTCCTCATCCTTGAGAACAAAGACTATTTTTTTTTTGGCCTTTTTTGTCTGCCCAGACCTTAACACAGTCCCTGGCACACAGTTTTATTGTTGTTCAATTATTTCTGACCCTTTGTGAGCCCATTCGGGGTTTTCTTGGCAAAGACACTGGAGTGGTTTGCCATTTCCTTCTCCAGTTCATTTACAGATGAGGAAACTGAGGCAAATAGGGTTAAGTGACTTGCCTAGGGTCACACAGCTAGTAAGTATCTGAAGCCAGATTTGAACTTGGGTGAGTCTTGATGACTCTAGGCCTAGCATTCTATCCACTGTGTCACCTAGCTGCCCTCCAGCACATAGTAGGCATTTAATAAATACTTTTTGATTATTTGTTGTGAGGATAAAATGAGACATTTGTAAAACTCTTTGCAAACCTTAAAGCTTTATATAAATTCTAGCTATTTTTGTCATCACCTGCATCACCATTATCATTATCTCTGAGGGTCCCTTACAACTTTAAATCTGGTATCCTTTATGAAAAAATACTTTTGTTAATTTACAAAGCACTTACTTCTCCACTCCCCCCTCATAAGTGGCTAGTTTCAATATTTTTTAGTACCCATTTTATAACTGAGGAAACTGAGTCTCAGAGAAGGGGAATGACTTGTGGACATTCATATAGGTAATAAATAAACAAAGACCCCACATCACACTCCCTTATAGCTCTGGCAGAGGAAATTGGGACTGGAAATTGGGGCTTCAGGGCTCTTGTCTTCATATCACCCGTTTTCCTGAATCTCTGTGGCTCTTGGCTTGGACCTGCCAAAATTCCTTCACACCTTGGGACCTTTCAATCGTCCTCATGGTGCTACCCCCGAGTGGACACCTTAAGGACAGTTGGCAGCTGGGCTCCCATATGTCTTCCCTTAATTTCGGTTACTCACACACTTGGAATACCTCACAGTATTTTCATGCCGACGGCCACGGCAAAGAAAAAGTCCCTTCAAAGTCTTCAGGTCAATGTCAGTCGGGCATGCTCCCCTCCCCCTCTCTCCTCACAGAGCAGCATCTAAGTACTAGCCCGCAACAACCTAGGTGCTGTGTTGCAGAATCAGGTCCTTCCCGTTCTGCTTCATACCAGGCTCCACCCAGGGCTCAGCACACGGGAGCTGCTCATAGGATCTCTTCACTGGGGATGACAATGGGGAGTGCTGCAGGTAGGAAAGCCTCACTGCCCAAAGCCAATGTCTACAGGTTGTGGGGAGGGAGGAAAGGAGGAAGGTCTGCTCCTGCATTCTTTTTGAAAATCAACTTTTGCTTCCAATTAATAAGCATTGATTTTCTCTCCCTCCTGCTGAAGAAAAAGAAAAAAAATGTCCTAGTAACACAACAAATTCTCAGGTTGGCCATGCCCCAAGATGTTTCCCCTTCTGCATTCTGAGCCCATCCCTCCTGTATTGAGATGTGGGCAGCATCTTCTTCTTCTCCTTTTTTCTTTTAATTAAGCACTTGGGGTTAAGTGACTTGGCCAGGGTCACACAGCTAGTAAGTGTCAAGTGTTTGGTCTGAGGCCACATTTAAACTCAGGTCCTCCTGACTTCAGGGCCAGTGCTCTATCCACTGTGCCACCTTGCTGCCCCTTCTTCCTCTCTCTCTAGAAAAAGATTCCCCACATGCCTTGGGGGAGGGGGCATTTGGAAGAATCCAGATGTTACCAATCATACAATAGCTCATTTCCATCAGGCTTTGTTCTTCTTCAAAGGGTCTTCATGCACATTATGGAAGGAGCATAATGTAGTGTTATTAGGAAGCTGGCCTCATAATCAGGAAGGCTTGGGTTCAAGTCTCATATCTAACATATACTAGTGGGGTTGTCTTGGGTAAGTCCTCTTGGTGTTCCAGACTCTAAGTTACAGAAAAGGAATTTTTCCCTGGGAATTCTTTACACTGATGAAATCACAGGTCCAATTAAAAAGGGAGACTACGAGTAATAGGCGAAAGTTACATAAAGTAGCATATAAATTCCACTATTCTTAAGCTAAGAGTAATGGGTCAACATTGCCCAGAAACAGATTCAGCTTAACTCAGGTTGCTGTTACTTTGTCAGTCAATCCAATCCTTGGTGACCTCATTTGTGGTTTTCTTGGCAAAGATACCGGAGAGGTTTGTCATTTCCTTCTCCAGCTCATTTTACAGAAGAGGAAACTGAGGCAAACAAGGTTAAATGACTTGCCCAGGGTTACACAGCCAGTAAGTGTCTGAGGTCAGATTTGAACTCATGAAAATGAGTCTTCCTGATTCCAGTGGCTATCCACTGTGCCACCTAGCTGGCCTACTTAACATCAGGAAAAGCTTCCTAAAAATGAGAAGGGGCAGGGAAGACTGGGATGCATTGTTTACGTGCCCTTTTATTCCCCATCAATGCTGTTCTTCAGGCAGGGGCTGAAGGACCACTCAGTAGGGAGGAGTGTACCTGTGGGGGTTCTTGCTCAAGGGTTGGAGTGGAGGCCCCTGAACACGACCTGAATTGGCTAATATAAGATTGTACTCTCCTATCCCATGGCCATGGCATGCTTGGCCAAGCAGATAAATATTGTATTTTTTTGTATATTTTGTATATTTTTCTTGTCCCTCCTTTGGGATGCCATGGCTAAGCACCTCCATTCCCTCACTTCTGAAGTCACTCCAGTTCAGAGATTCTATGCTTCTATTAAAAAAAAAAAAAGTCCAAGAGGCCTGGCATCTTGGGAAACTGCCTCATCTGCTTGCAATGGTAGCTTGATGACATGTGTCACTATAAGTAAAGTTGACACTCAGTTTTTAAAAGACTGAAGCAAAATAATGCATTTGTTTTCCATTCTTTCCACAGTTCAAATGGAAAATAATCCTCGAGTTGCTCAGGTAGCAATTACAAAATGCGGAGAGGACATGCAAGGCTACTGTTTACATGGGCAATGCATCTACGTGGTGGATATGAGTCAACACTTCTGCAGGTAAGTGGCCGTCATTACTTCTTGTGGGATAATTTCTTTTTAATTGTTTTACCGACTTCCGGGCTCTCCCCTTCCCAAATCATCCTTTGCAGTTCTGCCAAAGTAATCTTCCTAATGCTTCCTAAATCTGACCGTGTTCCTCCCCTGCTCTACATTCTCCAGGGGCTCACGGTGCTTGGCACATGAAGGCCACTTAATATATGCTTATTGGGTTGAATTGAACTAATGTGTATTTTGTGTGCGCCTTGTAGGAATTTAAGAAATTTTCAGTCAATATAAAAAAGGAAAATGGGCAGAAATGTTTTCTAGAGCTGTTGTTGAGACATTTCAGTCACCCCATTTAGGGTTTTCTGATACTGGAGCAGTTGGCCATTTCCTTCTCTAGCTCATTTGACAGATGAGGAAACTGAGGCAAATGAGGTTAAGTGACTTGCCTAGGGTCACACAACTGATAAGTGTCTGAGGCTGGATTTGAACTCAGGTTATCCTGACTCCAGAACTGGCACTTTATCCACTACTGCCCTATTGTAGAGTATTCGGTTAATTACACTATTGGATGATGCCACTTATCTCCATAAAAACCACAATTTACTTCAGACATTGCAATGGCAACTGAGAGGATTTTAAAAAAAAAACCCATGATATTTGTTCCAGCATGCATACAGTGCTTTAAGATTTGCAAAGCATTTTACAAATATTATCTCATTTGAGCCTCACAACAATCATGTGAGATAGAGGCTGTTATTATCTCCATTTTACAGATGAGAAAATTGAGGCAGACAACAATAGAGAGACTTGCCTGCCCAGGGTCGCATGGTTAGTAAGTGGCTGAAGTCGGATTTAAACTCAGGTTTTCCTGAATCTAGATCCAGCAAGCTAACTACTATACCACTTAGCTGCCCCTAAGACAAGTGTATGAAATAGAACATTTAGCTTTTGACAGCCAGTGGTGACTTCTTTTATAACTATTCACGTGCATCAGAAATGACTCTCTTTTATTGTTTGTTTTGTGTTCTTTTAATTTAAAAAATTAAGGGACTATTCACTGCTGAGTACCAGAAATATAAAAGAAAAAGATTAGATAGATAGATAAAAAAATAAACAAATCCTTGCCTTCAGGGAGCTTATATTCTACTGGGGAGTGGGGCGCAGCATGTCCACAACATCATGGTTTCTGCTGTGCAAAGCCTCCCTGGTTTCCTTTCCCTCCAAGGTTACTCTTGTGTTAAATAACTATGCTCATCTTTTCTACTTTTACCTAGGTGTGAAGTGGGCTACACAGGCAGCCGGTGTGAGCATTTTTTGCTAACTGTTCAAAAACCCTTAAGCAAAGAATACGTGGTGCTGACTGTCATCCTTGTTCTTCTGTTCCTGATCATCATGGCTGGTTCTATATATTACTTCCTCAGGTGGTAAGACAGAATTTCTTTACACTCTTCTTTCCTTTTTCTTTTCTCTCTCTCTCTCTCTCTCTCTCTCTCTCTTCTCTCTCTCTCTCTCTCTCTCTGTCTCTCTCTCTCTGTCTCTCTCTGTCTCTCTCTGTCTCTCTCTGTCTCTCTCTCTCTCTCTCTCTCTCATGATTTTAGCCTTCATCGATGATACTCCTTCAGGGTATGAATATTTGCTGCTGCCACCAAGTACAATATTGTTATATAGCTGATGAGAAGGAAGAACAATATTGGTAGTATTTATGAAAGTGTTGGTGGCTGACCTGAAAGCATAAGGGTAGCCAGAGGCTAATGGGGAAAATTCCTTGAATTTGGGGTGTGAGTCTATGGTCATGGAATCTGGGTTTGGATCCAAAGTCTGATATGTATGCATGTGTATACACACACATGCACACATGTATATGTATATATGTATATGTCTATATACATATGTGTGTATGTATGTGTGTGTGTGTGATTGTGTGTGTGTGTGTGTGTGTGTATCTCCTTAGGCAAATCACTTAACCTATCTGGCCTCAGTTTTCTCATCTGTAAAATGAAGAGACTGGACTAGACATCTTCTAAGGTCCCTTCCAACTCTATATCTAAAATCTCACAGGTTAAGTGATTTGTCATTAAAAAATAAAAAACCCCACCATACCATATGTCCTATGAAGTTTTGGATTCTTGAAGGAAGGTTTGATGGGCATGTCTCTTTGTCATTCAATGGTATAGTTCTGGTTTTGGTCATATAAAGTCAACAACAACAACAAGAAACATTGTCATGTAGCCATGGTCAATGCCAATCACCAAACGGGGAAGTCCTACATATTTATCTTGCACTGAAAATAACTTGAATTTGGTCAAGACCATCTGTAAAAAGTCTGCCATAGATGTCTGGTAGCACTGATTATGTGAGATGGAGGTCCATGCAGCTTTTGAGGCCACATAATTATTTCTTTTGTCAAATACAGCAGACTTACTTGACTCTTGCCTGTGCTGACTGATGTACTACTGTTTGTTTTTTTATCTTTGCATGTTCCCAGGTATAAAAACAGAAAAAGCAAAGAATCAAAAAAGGAATACGAAAGGGTGACTTTGAATGATGAAAGGAACTCAACATTGCTACAAGTCTGAAAGAAGCAAATGGCACATGCCCTACTACCTGCCTGGTGACAACCTCTTAGTGTTAATAGTTTTGTTTTATTAATAATATTTATGTTCAAAAAAAAAGGTCAAGCCATATATATTTTTTTCTTTTAAAAGAAGTCCACGGAGAAGATTTTATTTTTATTTTTTATTTTATTATTTTTGTATGATGAAACATTTGCTAGTGTATAAAGTGCATATAGTATTTTATACATAAAACCAATTTTTGTAAGAAATTCAAACTCCTGGGCTAAGTGCTTTATTGAAAGCAACAAAACTTGCAAGCTTGTACAGGATTCTAATCCGAAGCCAGCTCTTGTAATGCATCCAGGATACTCAAGTAAATGTTGACAAATAACAGCATGCATTTCTTAGATAATAATTTGTTGGAAAACATCATGAGAATTGACATCAAAGGAATGGTACCAGAAGGTGAAGATACAATTTGCCTTGGAGTCCTCTGACAAACAAAACATTCAAAAATGAAATTATACAGATGATGGGAATGGTCTGGGCAAAAACTTGTTTTTTTCTCTGCTCTCTAGCAAGAACTGAATGTTTATTTACCACAAGTGGCTACATACAGTATTCCATTTTAGGGCTTAATAACTGCAGAAATTCAGTCAGTCCAAAATGATTTCCCACCAGCAGTGCACTAGAGTTACCATGGGATATTAAGTCTCTAAATGTGTGTACATACCTTTGGTTTTCTTATCTACCAAGTGAATGCTACCCTAATGCTTTCTGCAGAATGATGAAATTCTTCAAGGCTTGATACTCTAAGATGCTAAGGGAGCTAGGATGTCATCAGTTTGCAAATGTCCTCCAGAGATGCAAACCATACCCCATCCTGGATGACTCTTGTCTTTTCTCTTATAAGTCTGCCATAAGGGCTCCACCCAAAGTGCTAGAGGCCAGATGAGTATTATAAAACAGTCCTTAATGATATATAACATTTTCCCTACTTAAAAACTTGATGGCTAGACAGGTAACAACCATTGGCCAGATAAGGCAAACATATAGCCAAGCTGTCCCTTTTCCCCAGTGGTTTATCTGCCCTGTCAACATTGTTTGAAGCAATTTCACAGTCTTAGAGTTGGTAAGTCATAAGTTCTTATGACACATTCCTATGAATGTTAGTCACAAAGGGCCACATGTGAGGTAATAGGCAACAATCTTCTTTTGTATCTAAACTAAGTCTATAGGAATCTCAAGTTAGTTCCTGGGAAGAGCTTTTAGCAACTTGATACCTTCAGCAAGCCTTGAAATGTCAAAAATTATTAAAAGTTGAGGGTAGGGCTACTCAGGATCATAGGCCAAGTGAGTTTCCTTCTTTTCTCTCTAGATTTTTCTTTGCCTTCTGAGGTATGGGACCACAGACAGGACCACAGTCATTGTGGGACAACAGTCATTGTTCTCCAGGAGCTTCAGAATTTTTGTCCTTTGGTGGCTATAAATTGTACCATGGTGTTTGTACAAAAGCAGACAGTTGTACTTTGGACATAGTGCCTATTTCTTGTGGAATTATGCATCGTGACTTGGGTTTTGAATAAGTTTCTGTTTTTAAAAATCTTAGACACTTACCTAAAAGATAAATTAAATAAAGGTAGGGTAATAAGAATCAGTGACATCCCAAGCACCATAGCTATAGCTGGTTGCACAAATTAAATCAAATCGTGCTCCAAATTCTTTAAGTGTTTCATTCATTCAACAGATTTGAGCATCATCTATGCAAACACTGAGCATCATATTTTCAGTCAAGGTTATCCTGCTTTCACCTATATTCATGCCTTGGCTATTTCTAATCCAGGGTCTCACTGAAATAATTGCTCAATGGCGATCCATTCATTCAATTTATAGACATGACCTATATGAAATTCACTATAGGAAAGCCAATTCAGAATGAAGTGAAAAATCAACACTGATTGATCTTTGTTTTGGTTCTAACACCTCCCAGTCTTTCCCTACCCCACCCCCATCCCAGCTTTAAAATTCAGTCAAATAACTAACCTCCATAAGTAGTTGGAGCTTTCCTTGAGAAAGCACACAAAAGAAAGAAATATGAACTGGAACCGGTATTAGGACAGAAAGTGAATCAACATAGCTAAGGCTTTTATTTTCAGATAAAAGTCACTTGTCACAGTAGCCACACTGGGCAGTGCTGTTTTCACATTTCCCATATGGTTTGAAAGTATCCCACATTTAAGATGTCCATAAAACACCTTTTATGTGCCTTCAGTAGTTATGCTGTTCACTATGGATGTCTTTCCTCACCTTTGCTTCCTGTAATTATTTTTTTTTAAAAAAGCTGAGTGTCAGAGATAAAACTTTAAAAGGGGCTGTGTCCATCAAAGACATGAGTATATGAATGGTGACAAGTCTATAAAGCTCAATACTAAACCCATGATTTCCCAGAAAGCTGTAACAATCTACTGTTCACTCTAACACTGAAGGATGGAAAAAAAAATCCTAAAATAACCAACACACCAAGGTCTGGAATTGCATTAAAAGGTCTTGCTGAAAACATATAACATTTGATTTTCACTAATTGCTAATTTAATAGAATCCATTCCTATTTGTGTAAGTAGTTTCATTCTTTGGATGTAAGACAATGTTAAAGAGTGGCCTAAAGTCTTATGTCATCTCCCAGCATGACACACTCACAGTAACCTTTTATGGTCTTAAGGACGATAGTTAACTGAATTCCAGCTATTTGTTGTATGAAACTAAATCATACTTTCTACAGTGGCTACAGTGCCGATACCTAATTTCTCTTTAGTTCAAAGAATGCTATTCACTTTGGGAGGGGTATCTAAATTTAACCCACTTTTTCATTATTATTTTAAGGTCCATTTTGTTCATTAGTTTTAGAGTACCAAAACCTCATTCTAAACATTTACTGGTTTTTCCCAATTTCAGTGATATTAGGGGAGAGGACAAGTCTTGGGCCAACTATGTCCTTAAAGCATGTCTTAATGTTTTCACCCCCAAAAAATCCATGAATACTATCTGACTTTCAAATGTTACATACTGTATATAAGATTCTATATTTTTCTCACCTTGTTTGCAAACATTGTAATTGCATGTTTTTAATTCCATAAAACATTCTAGGATACAGTTTATATTTAAAATCCTATTAAACAAAAAATTGTGTTGTATGCAATTTATTGCTTATGATTGTCTGAACAGTAAAAGCCTACTGAATTGTATCAATTTGTTGTTTATGAACAGTATCAGCTTTGATAGTAGTGTACCTTAACGTATTGAAGGAGAATGTCAAGACTACATACCATTGTACATTTTAAACATATCTATTGGGAGAAAAATAATTAAATATATTACATAAAACCAATATTGATTCATGGTCTTTGTTCTAAATATCATTTTGTCCTTTGTTTTTATAAGTTTCTTGTTTGGAATATTGAATGCATTTTCCCATTGATATTGATAGGTCCCCAAGTATTGGGATATTGAAATATTGAGATAGGTCCCCAAGTATTGAGAACCCTGGGAAAAGACAGATACCAGGAAGACAGTATATTACAGGAGTCTACAATTATAAATTACCACCTGGGTGACAAAAGAGTAACCAGATGTTCCTTCCACAGAGGGTTGTTGGGTGTGGCAATTTAAGATTTTAAGATTTAAGACTCACCCAGGTGAGTCTAGAATGACACATTACACATTTGTAGTATGGTGGGGGGAAGAAATAGAAGAGAAAGAGGGAAGAGAGCTCAAATGAACATTTGAGTATTATAGAGTGGGAGTAAAATCTTGAGGAATGAGTGTGAGGGAAGATGGGTTCACTAGTATTGTATATTAAGAAGACATCGCCAGGTGAGGAAATCCATGATTTTTCCAGGGGAAAAACTGGATGGAGAAAATAGGAAGAAAAATCAAGGTGGTCAGAAATAGAAGCAATATCATAGAAGGATAGAACACTAGGACAGAAAATAGAAATGGTTCAGGACACAAATTCCAAGTCTATGATGAAAGTATGAGATAGTAGTGATGGTGGATTTCAATTACATATTATATATATATGTGTGTGTGTGTGTGTGTGTGTGTGTGTGTGTCTGTATATGTATGTATTACAATGTACAATTATATATATATTTCAAATATATGATCTATATATATTTCAAATATATTATATATATGTGTGTGTGTATATATGTATATATATATATGTATGTATGTATAAAATATGTGTGTCTGCCATAGATAGATAGATAGATAGATAGATAGATAGATAGATAGATAGATAGTTGTTGAATTGGAAAGGAGGAGAATCTTTTGAGGAAGGAACCATTTCATCTTAGAATTTGCGATAAAGGAAACCTGAACATAGTCTGACATGCACTCTAGTTTGTGACAGAGTAGATTTCAAAGGTTTCATAGAAAGGACAGGCAAAAACCTATGTACTGACAATTCCAATGAGGAGGAAAAGAAGTTGTCAGATTGAATGATGTTTATATCCATAGAACTCAAAAATCAAACTGGATTATTTGTAAAGAAGAGTGAAGCTGGGGCAGGTAACAGAGAATAAATGCAAAAGAGTGATAAGGTCTGTCAGAACTGCTAACTCTCAAAATGAGCCAAAGCTGACCAGGACAGCTAAAGACACTGTGTGTGTGTGTGTGTGTGTGTGTGTGTGGTGTGTGTGTGTGTGTGTAGTTAAATTAGAGTAGGGAAAGGGGGAAAAACACAAAGTGATATGGTGGATTAGATGAATTTGGACTGACATTCATTCAGACAGAATTCAAAGAGTTCAGCCTTGGGGTGGATTTCCAAAGGTGAGTTAATTAACTCCTTCAGGGAACAGAGCAGTCTCTCCAGAGATCGGGTACTTAAGTTTCAATTCCAAATCATATGAAGGGAGACATTAGCAGTGTATGCAGTTGGCAAAATATTTCTGTTTGCTAAGCTTAGAGTGCACACACACATAAACACAAAATCTTTTTTTTTAAGATAAACTACTAACCAGCCACGCCTCCACCATCTTGAATTTTTGGAGTTCA